TATGACCTGCAGGACACGCGTGCTTTCAAGCACTCGACTGTTCCCTTCCTCATCATCCCCGGTCCACCCCGCGCCGGTGTCATATCCAGCCTCTACATTGACCCCACGAGCAGGTTCATGTTGAGTGCGGCAGGCACAAGGGGGTGGGAAGGCACGAGCACTGAGGTGTTGATTGGATATGAAATCAATGTTTTGGGCGATTAAGCCGCTTTTTGGACTGTATTGTTAATTCGCCGGGAGGAGCTTGCAATATACCCAGTCGCCGGTAGGAGGAGGTTGGTGTTTATTTCATGGGACTGCGCCTCGTATAGAGATAGGGGCGTTTCTGGGTTGGTTATCGTTTCTTGCTCTTTTTGTTCTGCTTCTTCCTACATACCCGTCCATTTCGTCACCATTTATTAGCATTCCCTCGCGGGCTAGTTGTCCTGGCTTGATAGAGAAAACCACTACCCACAGGACTCGATGGTCAGTGGAAATACATTATTATAAACTAAACATCTTGAATGCCAAGCAGGCTATGCCTGACACCGCTTGCATCTATAAAGATGAGGCGTGTAAGCGATTCCAGGCTTGCCCTCTGGTCGACAATAAGGGGTTGTCGAAATACCAGCCAAGTCGACAGACGGGCAGGTAAGTAGCGACTCTGGCGGACAGCGTTGAACAGGTCTGCTTCTTCAAGGAGCAGCCTCTTATGGCCTCGTCATCAAGACTATCCCGTAGCGATGGGGGTTGTCGGAGCTACAGTCCTCTGGCCTACAGAGAGTGGGAGTAGGCTGGTTCCCATCGTCCAATGCAACCTTTCTTCATACCCGGAATGCCTACGAAGGTAAGAGTGAGAGTGACCTGCCTGGGTGGATTGAACCATAAGTGTCACGAGCTTTGAGCATGACAGAGATAAAAGATTCATTACACACCGGCTCTATTTACGCTCACTGATCCTTTGCAATATAGTTATCTTGGAGATGCCCAGTCTTGCTACCTCGAGGCGGGCGGATGTCCTCGTCCTTGTCGAGAAAACTCGTCAACTCTCCAAACCTGTCTCAACTTATCAATTCACAGAAGCCCCCACCGCCATCTCTACACAAAAATAGAGAGGATGATAGGATCTCAGCAGCAGCCAAAAAGGCGACATACGCCGTGCCTGGCTAGGTAGGATGCCAGCACGACAAAAAGAATATTCGTTGCGTGAACTGGGAATCGAACCCAGGGCTCCCCGATATTGCTCATGGCAACGGAGAATTTTACCACTAAACCATTCACGCTTAGCTGTTGATGGTGGTCGTTGACGAAAATGACTCTATATAGTGCAATGGCATGGTTTGAGTATGACTTGTATCAGACTTGACCTTGCTCGCGCTATATTTCAACGGTGAAAATGCATTACGTGACTGCCATTCCCCAACATCTGATATTTCAGGTACGCACTATATATTGATCCTGTTCTTAGCAAACTCCAGACATTATGGACGCCGAGTTGGAGATAGTCTGCTGCCTCCACTGAAGTGTACCATCTGGTTGGACATGAGAATCCGAGACCTCCTCGATGAGGTCCCATCTGTTTGTTGTCACATCCTTCCGGGCCCAGCGGAAGATTACACTGTTTCCAAAGCCTTCGAACACCACCTCCCGTCTTCTTAACCGCAGCCATTGTTCGTTTTCGCTTCCCTCCATATTTAGGGACTCTACCTCCTTGTTCTTCAAGGCAATGGCATGGAAGACTCGACTGTCTCTCAGCGCATTCCGGTTAGGGTACTCTCGCAGGATTCTGATAGCATTATCTCGGACTGTGGGATCCCTGCACGCAAAGGACGAGATGAACAAAGGCCAGGTCCACCCAGAGTCCATCGAGAAGCCACAGCGTGGCAATGAAGCCAGGAGCGTCTCGGCGAGGACGTTGATCTCCTGGTATTGGGGTCTCAGTCCCTTTGCCGTTACAAGTCCAGAGAACCGGGGGATGGCAGTGTATATGTAGAGTATCAGATACTCGATGCGTAGAGTCGCTCCGTGGAGGTAAAGTTGTGGTGCTTGCTTGGAATTCCGGGCCGCAGACTGGAAAAGCGGTTCGAATGCTTCGCTCCAGCGCTGAAGCCAATATCGTGAGTCGGCAATGAACTTATTTATCATGGGGTTTTGCTTCACGCTGGCGAGCTTTGCCTCGACTTCCATTTCGTTGGTTGCCCGTGGAAGCTGCAGCCGAACGGTCGTCACCGTCAAAAGGGGAAGATATTGGACCATTTGTCTCTGAACCAATGTCCAATATCCTTGGGCTTCGCTCAGGTTTTGGAAGATCTGTGGCATGTCGCCCAGCGAGGTGATTGCCGATAATCTCGGCCGGAAGTAGGGGGAGGACCTGGTGAACGGGGATATCCCTGGGGGTTTGGGTGGCATGCCTCCTGGGGAGGGATGGCCGTCACTGGTTTGAGGACTACCTTGGCTGGTCGGGCTGGGTAGGCCTGCGCCTTCCGGCACCCGACTTGGGCCTGCTTGCCACGGAGATCCCGGTTGGCTTGGTGGGCTTCTATCAGAGGAGGCCGGAAAGCCACCACCAGGCGCTTCCTTGGGCAGAGGCTGTGCTTGGCTAGGAGATACCTGTCCTGGTGGTGTGGGGGGTTTGCGGTATGACCCCATATAAGATCTTGACTGCAGCTCGAGTGGCTTGAAACAATCGAGAACATCCTGGACCAAGGCCGGTGGTGCAGGTGCGATTCTCACGAGGTCAGGGGCTTTGTCGGAGCACGCTGCCAGCTCGTTGAGCATGCTAAAGCCTCCCATGATATGCTTCAGGGCAGCGGCTGTATTTCCCTGTTGTGCTTCAAAACATATAAAGAGCAGTGACGAAAGGAGCGCCGTTTTCATCCCCTCCTTGGTAGGTTTGGCAAGCGATTGCAGCCGTAGGGCTTCGCAGTAGTAGACGATGGCATTGAGATAATGCTTGTTCGTGGTGGAAAGAGATGTCAGCCCGTCGATCTCCTGTGCTTTACGCAAGGCTCCAACCGCCATGGCAGCGAAACGAAGTATCGGCTCCTGGAGCGTGAGTTGGGGCATAGTAACGGTCCAGAGTCGGGCCTTGGTCAGACCACCACTGAGAAACGTCATCGAAAGCGCCGTCCACTCATCAAAGTAGGCCCGCTGGTCGCTGCTTGCGAAGCGAACAGTGTTGGTCGAGGGCTCTGTCAGCATCACGGGAGCCCGTTTCGTGTGAATGAGCTTTGCGTCGGCGGTGGTCGAGGGGTTGGACGTGTCGGAGCTGCCATTGTCGCTATACGCATCACAGTATCCACGCCATCTCATGCAGTTGAGGCAAGACGGCCTCGTCTCGTCGCACTTCACATGTCGCTTTCTGCAGGCTCGGTTAGTCGATCTGCTCAACTTATCATGAAGACATCGTGCTATGGCGACTCACTTGCCTGTGGTGGTGTTGAAGCGCGTCAGCCGATATTCCTACACCGTTTCATGGGAATGGCGAAGATGGCCCGGACTACTTACAAGTGCTACATCCCTGGCGGGTGCGAGTTGAGCTGCGCCTTGTGTGCCGAGTTCTTGTCTCGAGCGCAAACCGAGAGGTGGTACCTTTTGGTGAGATTGTGTCTGTAGAAGCGCCCGAGGATCTAACGGCAGTTTCAGCACCTGGTTATTCCAAAGACAAAAAGGTCCAAAGCCGCCTACCGTGCGTTTTTGTCTCGAGCATCATCGTTTATCTTGACAGAGAATTGGAGCTCCATCTTTCAGTGGTTTGCTACCTGGCTATACAATGTCAATGACTGGCCGTTGGCCTGCGCCCTGTTCAAATCATGGATCTCGACAACTTGTCCAATCTGCTCTTGGGAGAAAGGGAGAAGGACACTTGGCCGGTGTGTGATGGTGTTGGCCCTGGGATTATCGGGCTCGGATATAGTGATAAGGATGATAGGTAATAAGTAATAGGGCAGGACAACTACCGGCCTACCTACTTATTGAGTGCCGAGTCTGTGCGGGGAGGGGTAGATTGCCCACAGCACGCATACATACCCATTCGAGTTTGGTCGCATATGAGGCGGTTATATTGGCATGGGAATGGCGTTGGGGGGACGAGGTCGTACATATGCGTTGTCCATCTCGCGAGGGCCCTTTGACATGCATGGAGGCAAATGGTGCTTGGATCCTTTTCTAAGGTCGGGGAAGAGATGGGAGGCGTCGGGTGGATATTGACTAGACATGGGTTAGGCTACGCCTCTTGAGCAGACAGTGCGGTAGACAATCTAGATGTCGTCTTCTGCTGCTCCATACATTCCTGCCTCGTTTTTACCCGCCTAGGGGTACATCTTACTGTTGAATGCGCTTGGCGCAGCTGAGACTAACGGTCACATCGGATAAAGCCTCGGCCATTTCCAATATCTCTAGTGTAGGTGATTGGGATTTACGACTCACCCAAGATCACAAGATGCTGGCGATCTATAAAACCTGCCCGTCTTGCTTGGCCGTTTCCTGTTTCTCGCCCCCGCAGGAGGATGGCAGGACAGAATGGGCAAGTATTGTGTGGTGACCTTCGCCGTGATCAACATCCCGGCTGGATGGATTGTTACCCCTCCTTCTTCCCCTTTCTACCGCATCAACAATATCCATCAGGAACAACCTGCATGATCACCATTGAAAATAACAATAGAAACTTACCAGCAATCGCCGATAAGTGTATAACCACCATGAGGCTTGCCAGTTATTTGCTCGGGTTCTCCCAATTGGAGCTCTAGGGTAGCAGCCACAAACCAGGGTTCTATCCGATCGAGGGCATTTCGCCTGCAGTTGTATACTTGAATCATTTTCATGGAGGTTTGCTATTATGAGCGGTAGTCGACAGAATAATGATGGGCCACTCATGGAGGCCTGTTGAAGAAATGGCAAAGAAGCATGAAGTAGGATGGGTTGGAAAGGACCCAGAAGCATACCTCGGCAATGCTGGTGACCTTCATATCGTGATTCTGCTTCACCAGAGCCAAGCAAACATGTCCGGAACATGTGATCAAGGCAACGTGCCAGAGTGGTTAATGGGTAAGCCTCGAAAGCTTATGGTTTCGGCCTCACAGGTTCGAATCCTGTCGTTGTCGACTTTTTTGGACATCTTTTTGCCCAATCTAAGAACCCAGCGTGTCGTGGCCCGGTGGGAAATATAAACAGGTTGGCGGATTCGGCATGTTGAGGACGAGGACGTCATGGCGTCAAAGAGACAGCCAGCGCAGGAAATTAATTAGGTGCCAACAAGACTTAGACGTACGATAGGCATGAACACAAAATACCTGTATGGTGGAGCGGAGCCTACGGGGATGGGCCATTTGCTCCTAGACCATCTTTTTGCTACCCTGAGTAGCTGAACGCCCTCCTAGGAGTATATATTGGACATTCGGGGCCAATCCGAAAATTTATCAGACGAGCGAATCCAGATAGTTGTCACGCAGCTCTTCCCAGGTGCCAGATAAGTCACGACATTCGGTTCATTGGACCAAACACATCGAGATATGGCAAATTTATTGCAACTCCTAATCATCACTCATCCACTGACACTCATATATCCTACACTTCAGCTAGCGCTCGCTGGCGACCTCCTCAGGGCCAGCAGGAATTCTCTCCTCTGCCCCTGGATAGTTCTCGTCGAACTTGCCTCGATAGCCGACCGGATAATCTCGATCGAAGCCCCTTTCGTGAACAGGGTCAGATGGGTTGGCACCCACGCCCTCGAGACCAGCACGTTCGCGCTTGTGCTTGCCGCCGTGCAATTCTTGACTCGTCATGCCGGCACCAGGATGCCCATAACCTGTGTGGACGTCGGAAGAGGTAGCACCGCCAAGGGTGTCAGATGCCCGTGTCCGCGATTCCGCATCCATGTCCGGGTTTAGGGCCTGGCCCGGAACCTCACCCGTCGGGTTGGGGTTGAAGGACTGATTGGCGGGAGCTGTGCCGGGAGGGTATGTCTCGGCGTGGAACTCGGGCACTGCGTCGTTTCCAACCTTGACACCAGGCGCATGCTATGAACCAGAGAGCGATGCGTCAGCGAGAGAAAGGCTATTTTGGGAGACAGTTCTTACCCCTTTGCGTGTAAGTGGCTCAGATGGAGCGACTCTGCTCCTAAACTCGCCCTGGGCGGGAGTCATGGCGTCGGGATTCTGGGAGGCGGACATGGCTGTGACTGTATTATGGGAGAGGTAAAGAGATGAGACTTATGGCGGTAAATGGTAGATGAGAAATGGATGTAGAGTTGAGAATGTCCAAGTAGGCTCAGAAAAAGGGCCATCGACCTTGAAATAAGTCGAGTGAGCACCTAGATGTGACCATATATGATGTCAATGAACTTGAGAAATCTACATGACATCATGACACGACCGTAAATGCCTTCTCCGCAAAAGTCAAGCAGACGAACTGCCAGTTAGTTGCCGTACATATTGTCCATCTTTCTTCTTCGGTGTAGATATGACAACATGGCGACGGAATAAAGTGGAGTGAACCCGGAGGTAGCTCCGGCCGGCCTGTGCCGACAACTGTCGAGGTATTACCAATGCGAGGCAAATGCAAACTTTGTACAGATATGGGGGATGTGGCAGTAGAACTGGCGCAATAGAACAATGGAGCACAGCCAAGCAGCCAGGTACAATGCCGTCACCTCGAAGCGGTATCGACTTGAAGCAGGCCAGCCAGATGTTCCCTTATCAGCCACTTGGCCTTGGCCTCTCCTCCATGACATATATGAGGGCGATATGTGACTGCTAAACATCGACACGCGGTGGTGTTCCACTGCGGCTTCGTGTAATTTTACCGGACGTTTTTCGCCAAAAGGCCCCCTACTAAGGTAGACCAACGAGCATCAGTGAACGTGCAGGACATATATGACAACCAAACCGAGAACTCTGCATTCGGGGGACCCAGGAACAAACGAAGGACAAGACATAAAATCACAACAAGGAATAGAGAGATGGCTTGAGGTGGCGACAGGGTATATTGCCATGTTGCCATGTTGTTCGATTCGCAAGGCCAACATAGTGCTGCTGGAGGTGAGCGTGACCCGACCACGACTGCCCAAGCATGGAAGACGGCTTTTCACATCCCGGAGCCGGCTGCATAGAGCGATGCTTATATGGGAACATGAGTTGGTTGTCAGGAGAGATGGTCGAGAGATGTACGAGGCACTTTGAGGTGCAGGACAAGATCGAGCCAGCGGTGATGCATTTGTAGCCGGTTTACACGGTCTGTGTAATTATTTTCTTAAACATCGAATCGTGAGAATGCACATTGAAAGGGGACAACTGGAAGGGGTTTCGGACAGGCTTTTATTCTATACTCAAAAAGCAGCGTGCAAGTGAAGTCATCAGGAGGGCATTTGAACCGTTAAATTGCTTCCTCTATTGACGACGGATGGTGGATCCCGTGGGCCAATCATGTCGCACCCGCCAGCAAAACCGACAACCCACTCCACCTGGGAAACTGGAGACGGACAGGCTTAGCACAAGCCCCTCGGTTGTAGATCGTGGTTGCCAGGCAGACTAAATCCGGATTTCCACGAAACCCGCCTCCATCAGGTGCCTCCAGTGTACTTTAGGTAGAGTACTTACTAGAGCAGGGCGATGGGGCGCCATTGGCCAACTCTCAGCTGTGGCGGCACTGCCTACGACCAGGCGCCTCCCAGGCATTATTGCCCGGATTTAGCGCACACATTTATACGATCATGGCGGCGGCTGAGGGACGAAGACTGAAACAAAAATACGAGGGGGATGTGGCAGAGAGAATACGAATTGCTGATGAAGTTGCCAGTCCACGTCTTGAGCCGGTTGCTGTAGCCGGCGACCAACGTGGTAGGAGCGCCGAGGACTGGTAGCGGCGGTATCCGTATGTACCCTCTACTTCCTCGCATTAGAACAGAGTCCTCACTTGCATGTGGCAATTGCTTGGCGCTCCGTTCTTGATTGGGCCTGGCCTTGTACCCACTACATCCCCAGGCGCTGTGAACCTGTCCTTGCCAGCATCGCCTTTTCCCCAAACTCGAGATGCCCCTTGCACATCTGGAAAACAAGGTCCATAATTGACCGGGGCGCCGTTGCTGTGCCCTCGTACCAACCCCTGCGCTCAAAACAAAAGTTGAGCCTGTGCCAAGCTCGATGTGGATGGCTGTGACGACGCTTGATCTGCTCGACTCGGCCTTGGTTTCAAGTCGTCCTTGGTCGCTTGACCTTCACTTCCTTCCCATCTCCCACCCCCCACCCTTCTATGCCTTTGGTATGTCTTTGTGCTGTGTTACTTGATTATCTCTGCGATTCGCCTTGATCCCCTCGTTACGAAACTCGTTGCGACTCTCGCTTTGATTTCGCCGGCCGGCGCAAGACATTGATCGACTTCATCCACCACGCCACTCATGCCACACCACGCATGACACGCAGCCCTTGACGCATCGCCCGCCCTACCTACCCGCACCGAACTTGCGCGGCCAGCATCTCTTCGATCCGACTTCGAGCCGCCTGTATATTGGCTAGGCGGGGTGTTTGCTCGCCCTTCAAACCCACGCCCAGCGTCCATCGAACAGCGGCTGGTCTGTTGCCAGTACAAACAAAGCGTTGGATTCTTGCTTCAGCCAGTGGCCTCGACAGTCGCTTATGCTCCCGACACAACCGATCAGTACTGTCGCCTCATTTAGTCTGATTCAACCGAATTCACCCAAAGTCACTGTGTCGGCTCCCGACTTGCAACCACAATCATCGCCTGGGCCCCTTGCGTGGATCTAGTCAAAGTGACGCTGGGCGAAACCGAACCCTGCAGCCACGATGCAGTACTACCCAGATGATGCTCCCTACGAAAGGGAGCCCCTAGAACCTTCGCACCGATACGACCGACACAACCGTCATCAGCCCTCGCGACCACCTGTACCACCACCTCATCAGAATTATTCAGAAGCTGGTCCTTCCCACTATTCTGATCCTCCCTCCAGTCGAAGGGCCGACGGATATCGCAACGATTCAGACTATACCCGGCCCCGAGGCGGCCCAAACTACGAAAATACTCAATACCGTGAAGCCTCTCAACACAGCAGCCGAGGCGCAGGAGCCGCACACGCGGGCATGGCGGCTGGTGGAACGGCGTATGTGCAGCCTTCGATCCCCAATACCATAACACCTGGTGCTGATAACTTCGGCAACGTCGCTTCTGGGGGCATGGCTGGTATTGCGTACAGTGTTGCTGACCGGAATGCCAGAGACAGCGGGATGGACGCCATGTATGGGACTTCACAGGTTCCCCCTCCCCCTTCGCGCGCCCACAACCCCCAATCGCATCGTCATCAGTACCCACAGCATCCTGCCGGAGGCTACCAGTACGATTCTGGGTACGGTTACGGCCAGAATACCACGGGCCCCTCATCCAGTTCCAGCCTCTCCACTGGCGGTCCTGCCTCCATGCACCACGCCTCTCACTCTCCTTCAAGGAACCCTTATCCCGGTGCTTATGGGGAGTCTTATGCAGATGACCCCTACTCGAGCTATCATGTTGCCTCTCGGACTAGCGATCCTCAGCTGGGCGTCGTCAATCCTAATGATATCGAAGACGACGGCGATGATGGCCTCTATTATTCCAAGAACAACCAGCGCAACTCTTTCCTTGGAGGTTCACACTCCGACCGCTCTGGAAAGCCTGGCTTTGGAACTGCTGTCGTAGGCACTGGCGCCGCGGCGGCTGGTGCTGGGGGGTTCTTTGCACGTAACGGTACTTTCCAAGCCTGAGCTCACCGATTAGCAACGGGAATATAGGTGCTGACATGAGTATAGGAAGCCAAGCCGACTCAGGCGGTTACGATTTGGGCGAGGCTCCAGAGAAGGTACCAGGTTGGGGAAACAAGCCCGAGGTGAAATCAAAGAGGCGAAAATGGATCATCATAATCATTGTCTCCCTCGTCATTGTCGGCGCGGTTGTGGGGGGTGTCGTCGGTGGAGTTGTGATGAACGGGAACAACAGAGACGGAAGTGGTCAGTCGGCCCAGCAGGACCATGAACAAAACGGCGATCTAGTACGAAGCAGCGGCGATATCCAGCGACTACTCAACAACCCGGATCTCCACAAGGTATTTCCTGGCATG